GTTTCCATCTCTAAAGTATGATTGGTGCGATATTACTGTAATGAAGTGATGCACTGGGTTTGTGCGATATGAGTAGGTTTCCTGTTTGTGGTTGTTTAAAGTAAATTTGCAAAATAACTCTTGTTTACGTTACTAGCTAAAGCTGAAAGTGCTCTATTTTATGACTTGTTTGAATTTGCATTTCATTAATTTTCAATTGTTTATGTTAGTCCCAGCAGAAGAAGGACGAGGATAAGGCACCAGAAGAGAAGTGACGATGCTTATAGTTGATGTTCAATTTCAGGTGTGGTTTTGAGCCTACCAATGATGTGTTTCCTCTGGGAGAACCCAGAACCCTACAGGAATGCTTCTGATTTAGCACACTTCTCTTGAATTCTTAATCCTTGTTCCGGTGCTGTTAATTTCTAGATCTTTTAGCTGCTTAAATGACTTGTGTTGGGGCAACTTTGGTTGGGGAATTGGGATGGTGGTTGTTTAACAGACTATCCTTGTTTGCATGGAAGGGGCTGAGTATTGATATTATCTCTGTACTTGTTTCACTATAGTGTTATAACAACTATACTTGTGATTTTGATTTTTGATTTTGCTGCTGCTTGTTCGAAAAGGTCGTCACAAGGAACGTTATGCATTCAGGAAAAAGAATAATTAAGGCTATAAAGAGGGGTGCATGAAATGGGGGGCCAACTCACTAATCTTTTATGGCAGTAGAACAATTTTTGTTCTCTAATATTTCAGGTTGTGACATGGAATCATCCACCTTCGTAATTATATGGCGTGTTAAGTGCAGTTGAAGCATTTTTAATTTTTGCTTTACCACGATGGTTACATAGGCATGTCAATCATGTCGATTGAGACGGGTTCGTGTTGAGTTTTAAAGGGTTCGAGTTAAAAAATATTTTATCCATATTCGATTCAGTTATTAATTTATGTTTAACGAATTGTGTCATATTGTATTCGTGCTGTGTATAATTATTAGGTATATAAATGAGTGATGTTGTGTTGTGTATTTTTTTTTTTATTGATTTCACCTATATTTGACTTGTTTACTAAACTGGTGGTTTAAGAAATATCCAAATTTTTTAATTTTGTATAGTGTTGGTGATGTATCATATTTTGACACCCGGTGCATGTTAAGCTTTCTACTGGCATTGCCTCTTCTTTTTTATTGGTCAGAGGCATTGCCTGTTTGCTAATTCAAATTGTGCCCTGTTTGTTGATTGAAGGCTCATCTGGGTGTTGGTACGGGGTGTTGAGCTTATATGTGTGGGTTTATGCCTCGGTCCTCTGACCCACTGTTGGACCAACTATGGGTTCTGTTGTGGTTATTAGAAGGGTAAATTACACGTTACCACTTTAATTATAACCTTTGTTTCAATTTGCACTCTTAACTATAAATTTTTTCAAATTGCATTATAAAGTATTAATTTTATTTCATATCACTTTAATAGATAATGACTGTTAATTTTTTGACAGTAAATGAGCATGTGAGTGGTTTGTATTGCGAATAAGCAACTGTCTATTGTACATCTAGAGGTTAAAAATTAAGAAAAATATTCATCTATGACTTTATCCTTCTTAAACTTTAAATTTTCTTCTTTTGGTTGACTTTTTTTTTCTTTCTTGCAACAACTTGGCGGAAAGTTCTTTAGGGTTTTCCTCCATCTTTTGATAGATTTTTAAGTTTGATGTTATCTATTACAGTGATATAAAACAAAATTAATGCTTTAGGGTACAATGTAAAAATTTTTACATTGAGGATATAAAATAAAATAAAGATAACGGTTCGGGGTATAAAGTATAATTTACTCTTATTAGAATAGCATGTGACGATTGATTTAAACTTTTCCATCATCTGTTTTGCCAAAAAAAACTTATCCAATCATCTTTATGAATTTTATTTATGCACATTATGCCATTATGTGTCTCCATCGCAAACATCGGAGGTAACCACCGGACTTTGAAGCCTACACTGATGGTTAACCTCCGGCTCAAGACCAGAGGCGACTCAAGAAAATTTGAAACCTAAAGCCATATTTGTAAATGAGACATTTTTTTAATTGTTTGTATCTCTAATTTTTCCATTTTTTTTGTGATATGATCGACCTTAAATAAGATTTTATTAATTTTAAAGTTTTTGTTACTAATATAAATTTTTTTTTTTGTATATTTTGCATTTAAGATAGTTGTTTTGCATGTTTAACTCTCATCGTGAATATTTTATTATTATTATTATTTTCTTGTATTACTTTATTATTTCTTATTCTTTGGGATCTATTAATTGTTTATTTGCAAGACTTTTAACCTATTTTTTTTATGACTTTTTATTTGAAAGTAAGAATAAAGAAATCATTTTGAGATTCAATTAGTTTAAAATTTTCTCATTTTTAGAAAGATTTTTCATATTCAGATGATTATTTTCTAGTTGTCATATTTATAGCACATAATCAACAAATTAATTCTAAATAACCATATGGTATCTATAATTACAGAATATAGCATGAGCTTAAAATTTCAAAAAAAATAAAACAATACAGTTTAATTTGTCGCGTTTATTTGCAACATTAAAATTTGATATTTTCATTCTTTCTTGATTTGGTGTATGATTTAAGATAAAAAATTGCTTGTGTGTGTGTGAGAGAGAGGAGAATTTTGTTTTTACTGTTTTCTTATTGCACTGAGTTTTAACCATTATAACAAAATGTATAGATTGTATTTTTGGCCCAACTATTGAATCTAAAATTTAGTTATTAGGCGTACACTTTATTAATACTTTTTGTAGAGTTTATATTATCATCTATTTAAAAACTTTGACCGAATGACATTGTACATTAAAAAATATAGGACCTTCTTTATAGTTGGAGCCTAAAGCTCTAAACTTTTTCGGTGGGCGGGTCCTGCTCAAGGCGGTAGTGTGGTGGTAAAGGGACCCAAAAGTTGGAAGAAATAAATGCAAAGATGAAATGAGTAGAATTTTTTCTTTCCCTCAAATTTGAATCACGTACAATTAATCAAGTCAATTTTAGATCACCTACAATTAATCGAGATATGTTAAATTGAGAAAAAGAAAGGAATCTAATTATTGTACGAGTTTTATTCAAAATTAAAGCTTGTCTAGTTGTCAATGCCTATTGGGTAGGTGTGGGGAGCATTACTGTGCATCAAATTATCCAACCTCTTTCAACTACCGGAATCGTGGTGGTGACCACAATAGCTTGTAGGACCTCGAACATAAAGATATCACTTCATTGAACACTCAAAGCTATGTTTATGTTTAATATAGGAGGTTAATGACATCTTCACTAAAGAAATAATCTGATCATTATACTTTCTACACGTGTGTTCCAATATCTTACCATTGTGCTCTTGGTAACACAGCAATCTTATTTGTGTGTGCCAATACAATGGGCAAGGCCCAATTAAATTACTTTTTTTGTTTCTTTGGTTGGTGTGTCATCGACGTCACGTGGTAGACCGCACTTTTTTTATATTGGGTGATTACCTAGATTACGTGGAGTGGTGATTATTGAATTATGTGAGACCTATTTGTTGATTTATTATTTTTTTATTGAATGTTGACTTCAAGGAATAATAATAGCGGATGTTACTGTTATATTGAATATTTTCTTGAAGTAGTGGGTGGTTAGGCATAAATCCAAGTACAGTAAGCATGGCTTTCTTCCCTCCCTAAATCGAAAAATAGCACCATTTCTTGCATGCTAAAAAACCCGAGATCTCTTATGGTGAGTAAATTTTGATGTAAATCATTATCATCACGTGGTGTTGCAATCCTATAATAAACTTATAAGTGGTTATTAAATGACATTAATGGATGGTTACTAAAACATGTGGAATCTATTTGCTGAGTTATTATTAGATGATGACACCACGTGACAATGATGACGTATTATCACCATTATACTAAATATTTTTTCCTCTTCTTTAAAGTTTGACCTACTCAATTTTCAAATTTTTATCCATTCTCTCTTTGACTTTTCTTTTTTATTCACATTAAAGATATAATTTTATCTGTTTTAATAATTGATTCCCCAAGTCATTTATGGGATTTAAAAATAAACTTGTATGCTATGAATTTCAAATTTGAAATTCTAAATAACATTTCAAAATGGTTATAGAATTTTAAATTAGGAAGTCTTGTAGACACGTGTTTAATAAAACTCATTCATCAAAGAGTGTATATTTATTTGATTTGAAAATTCATTTCAATCCCAAATTTAAGATTCATAGTTATTGAAATTATATTTAATACTTAAAAGTTCAATAAATATTAAAGATTAAAAATCGATATGCATAACATGGACAAAAAAATAATAATTAAAATTTATATATATAGAATCGTGAGAACAACCAGCCATTTATGATCCTATAATTTAGTACATAACGACACATATTTTTATACAATAATAAAATAACCTTATAATTTTAAAAAATTATAAAATAACCTCATTATTTTTAAAACATATTCAAGCTCGGTAAAGAGTGCAGCACATGATCCAAGGCATATTTAATACTTATTGTTTATTTTTAGGCACGTTTCAGGCATTTCTGAATATGTTTTGAACATAGTAAGGTTATTTTATAATTTTTTTAAATTATAGCGTTCAAAAAGCACAAATTAATGTTGAGCCAAAAATTTTATTTTTTTAATAAGTTTTAGTGGATTGTGATAGGTCAAAAATTTATTTTTTTAATAAGTTTGAGTGGATAGTGGTGAACTCAAATTTTTTTGTTTTAAATAGACTTAGTTTTTTAATAAATAATATGGACCTAATATTTTTATCATGGATCGTGGGTGGATACAAATAATATATTATATAAATATATAATATATACACCTAACTAATAAATATATATATTTTTTAGGGGCACTTGCCCGCGCTGGCCATGCCTCCCTCCGCCCCTGAATTAAAGTCGTTGCCAACCTTTGTGATCAAGTAACGCCAACAGTTAATAAAACGGACAAAAACCTTCCATAAGCGCTACTTTTCCAGCCGAAATTGCCCATAGATATTACACACACCACCTTCACTGTAAAGCTGCCATCAAAGTTCACTTCCACTAGTCCCATAAATGGACTCCCTCGTAAAAATCTGGGTAAAATCGCCGCATTCTAGCGCGTGTAAAGCGTCGGTAGTCAAGCTTGTCTTCTTTCCTCGGCCGGCTGTTACATTAGAGGCCAATGGAATAAACAATGCTTATTTATCACTACCCAACACTATGGCTTTTTTGTGTTTCATCAGAGTCTTGTACTCTATATATTAAAGAAAGACCCACAAGGCAAACTAGGGTTTGGGTTTTGGTTTTGGTTTGCGAATGGGAATGGGAATGATTGCTGTTTGGGTTTCAGCTTTGCTATGTGGTGTTTCTGTGCTTTGTTCTTGTGGGATTGTAAATGGGTATGTTCAATACAATACTGGAAGTGGCATTGTTGGAGGAAAATTGAATGTCCATTTGGTTCCCCATTCGCACGATGATGTGGGTTGGTTGAAGACGGTTGATCAGTATTATGTTGGATCAAATAACAGTATTCAGGTGTGATAAAGAATGTGTTATTTTGTTGTGCTTTGGTGAAATTTTTTTATATATCACTTATATGTTGTTTGATGATTCTTGGTGCAGGGTGCATGTGTTGAGAATGTGCTGGACTCGGTTGTTATGTCATTGGGCCGTGACCCGAATAAGAAATTTGTGTTTGCTGAAATGGTAAACTATAAATATTGTCAGATTTTAATCATGTAAATATAGTTCGGATCTAAACTTAAATGATTTTATTTGATACTGATGATTTTGTTGAAGTTCTTAGTTCTGGATTTTGGTTCTTTCCCTTATGTGAAGTTTCAAATTATGATGTATGACTTCCCTTTGCAACTGAAGAGTAGTACGCAGACATCTATACTTTTGATGGTATTCTGTTAAAATTAATTATTGTAAAGGAGCACGAAAACTAGGGGTACTGGGAGTTGTGTACCTAGTAGGTATGGTACCTATTGGCTGGCATTACACTCATAACCGTGCATTTTACTATTTGATTTGAAGAATTGATTTTTCCAATTTATATTTGAGGATGTCATATGTAGTTATCCTTAACTTGGTTTAGCAATGTTGCAATTGCTAAACAGGTAGCCACTGGTTTTAGTGGTTAAAACTCATCCCAATAACCTTGAGATTATGAGTTCAAACATGAGGGTAACCTTTTCTGCAAACAAGGTCTCTACCCCTCAGTCCTCCGTCAATGGGGACTGACCTGGTGTTAATGTTGCAACTACTACAGTGTTTATATTCATTTAAGTCCTTTATCTATTATATCTAGCCAATGCGCCAAGCCTGATCAAAAGAAAAAGACTCTAAAAAAATGTGGGCTGGACGTAGCATATGCAAACTATTTTTGTGCACATGCATGAAGTACTCAACTCAGTGGTGGTTGGTTTTATACATATTCAAGTTGACAAAGTCGTGTCCTTTTTATTTTTATAAATACACTAGAACTTAGTCAACTAAAGCACAAGGACCTGGATTACTATTGTTTGTCATGTGGTTTTATGCATTTGCATGACATTTGAAATATGTGTTACCTTTCCAATAGGATTCAAATTATTTGATACGTCCTTCCTTCCCTAAAGTAAACCCTTCCTCCCAACAAAACTCTTGTTTTCCAATTGAAAGCATTCGAGGATCTCAAATGATCCCATCTTTCTTTAGTGTGATATCTCTTTGCTACATTATTACTTTGTGTTGGAAATATTGCAGTTTAGTTTATTAGGATTTATTATAGTTTTCCCTTTTTACCTTTTTACCCTTATTGTAATTTTCATTGGCTATATATACAGGGGCTCTACACTTAGGTTGTATCCTTTTTGACTCACATATATTTCTCTAGTTGGTATCAGAGTAAAAAACCCTAACCCTAACCATAACCCTAGCCTTCTATACCTCGTTGCAGCCTGCCGCCACCACAAACCAGCCACACCACCACCACTGCGCAACTGCAGCAACCAGCGCAAGCCACCGACTGCCCATACCGACCAGTCCAAACAACCACCGTAGGTCTGCAAAAGCAAAACAACCAGCAACAACCTCACCGACAGCCTACCGAAACCAGCATCCCACCGAAATCGAAACAGCAAGCAACAGCCCACAGAAACCGAAACTTCTCCGACTGCCCAGCAACCAGCGCATTGACTCCAACTGCCTAAAAACAAAACCACAAACCAGTCCACTACCTTGACCAGTCTGCCCAAAATCAATCCAGTCCAGTCCCAAACTCAGTCCAATCCAGTGCAGTCCCAAACCAGTCCAGTCCCAAACCCAGTCCAGTCCCAAACTCAGTCCAATCCAGTCCAGTCCCAAACTCAGTCCAAACCAGTCCAGTCCCAAACCCAACACAATACCCACTCCATTGGACCAGCCCACTGTTGGATCGCGTTCTTCATCACAACTTTGAGTTATGCCTTCATGCGCCTAATTATTTGGGACCGTATGATCTTTTAAGAGGAGTTGATTTCTCTTCTTCGTTGATCTGCTCTTGATGCAGTAGACCAATTATTTATATTTATTGGATTTTTGGGCACCGTGATCTGATTACTTGGGAGCTTTCTGGACCTTCTTTATCTGTCGTTATTATTTGACTGGAGGTATATTATTCTCCCATATTTTGTCCCTCTATTTATCTTAAGAACTTTTTCCTGTCACGGGTGCCCACATATTGTTATTGTTATGGCTACTATTGAGGGATTTGAGACCTCTACTCTTGAAACCTCTGCTGTTAGTACTTCCACCTGGAATGTACCTCCTGGTTCTCGTCAGTGTGATTATTGTGGCCGACCAGGCCATCTTCGGGCTACTAGCTGGAAGCTCTATCCGGAGCTTAAGCCGCCTCCTCGTAGCCGTACTCCTGCTGTTGTTGAGGTACCACCACCTACTGTTGCTGTTCCTGCTGCTGTTCCTCCTCCTTGGCAGAGTGATATGGATGCTATCATTTCTCGATTGGATATACTTATGACCGCCTTGACTTCTCAGGGTCCGACTACTGTTATTGCCACCACTACAGGTATACCTCGTGCCTTTCATGCTTTTGCCAGTCCGTCTCCCCTTTAGATGCTAGACTCGGGTGCAAATGGTCATATGACAGGTGAGGCCCATCACTTCACCACTTTTGACGAACAGTTACATACACAGGTTCAGTTAGCAGATGAGACACATGCCCTTATTGTTAGTAGGGGTACAGTTCGTCTCCCAGATGGCTTTACATTACATTCGATTTTTCATGCGCCAAAACTGGCCATGAATCTATTATCCGTGCATCAGTTAACCAGAGATTTTCATTGTGCGGTTGTGTTTTTATCTGATTCGTGTTATTTGTAGGACCTGAGTACCAAGAGGATTATTATCAGGGGATATGAGAGAGATGGATTGTATTATCTAGGAGATCCACCTCTAGTTTCACCAATTCCTCCACCTCCATCACCTGTACCTACTCTGTCTTTATCTCTTCCTAGCTTGCATGCTAATATCTTGCCTAGTACTTGTCGTTATGATTTTTCATCACAAACTGTTCAGTTGTGGCATGATCGTTTTGGACATACAAATTTTAAATATTTATGTTTGTTATTTTCTGCTTTAAGCAATGCTTGTGTTGGTGGTAAACTTGACTGTGTTATATGTTCCCTATCAAAACATGTTCGGACCAGTTATATTCCTCGCATGCACCAGTCACCCAAGCCATTTGACCTAATACACTCTGATATTTGGGAACCCTCTCCTGTTACTGCTTTGTCAGGTGCTCGATACTATATGACATTTATAGATGATCATACCCGTTGTATTTGAGTCTACCTTTGCATAGGAAGTCTGATGTATTTCCTGTCATCACACAGTTTCTCCAGATGATTAAGACACAATTTGATGTCATTGTTTGTGCTCTTCGTTCGGATAATATCAAAGAATATGTGTGTAATGCCTTAGTGTCTCACCTTTCCTCTTAGGGTATCCTTCAGCAGCTCACTTGTCCATATATTCCTGAGCAAAATGGAGTTGCTGAAAAGAAAAATAAGAGTCTAATAGGGATAGTACGTTGTATGCTTAGAGGTATGGGGGTACCAAAATTTTATTGGCATTTTGCTGTTTTAACTTCTACCTTTCTGTGTAATCGCACACCGAGTCATGTTCTTTAGCATAGGACTCCCTTACAGGTCTTATTCCCTGAGCGGACACTTTTTTCAGTCCCCCTCGTGTTTTTGGCTGCACATATTTTGTTCAGGATCGATTTCCTACTCGCTATAAGCTTGATGATAAAGCGATTCGTTGTGTCTTTGTGGGGGTATTGTCATCAGTTTAAGGGGTATCGGTGTTATGATCCTATCAGGCGCCGTATGTATCACAGTCTAGATGTTACATTTCTTGAGCACATTCCTTATTTTTCTTCTAGTCCTGTGTCTGCCCCTCTAGTTGATGATACTCCCTTTAATTTTCTGTTACCGCAGGAGTCAGAGCCATTGGTCACTATCAGTACAGAGTCATCAGTCTCTCCTTCTCCAGAGCCACTCGTCCCTGTTAGTACAGAGTCACCAGTCTTTCTTCCTTTGCAGGTTTATGTTCGTCGCCCTCGCTTTCATTCCCCTGCTGATGTCCCTTCTACCTCAGGCGATGCAGGTAATATTTTTCAGTTCGTTGAGCATATTGATGCACCTGTTGTTAGTATTGATGAGATTGCAGGTATTGAGCTTGGTTCTCTCGCTTTAGTGATGTAGTTATACGTTTAGGGTTCACCAGATGTCATTCTGATCATACCTTCTTCATTCGATGGAATACTTCTGGACGGTGTGTTATACTTTTGGTATATGTTGATGATATTATTATTACTGGAGATGATATATTTGGGACTGCGCAGTTCAAGGTAGACCTTGGGAAGACCTTCGATGTGAAGGACCTTGGATTTTTGCGATACTTTCTTGGGATTGAGGTTGCCTGTAGCAGCAGGGGTATTGTTCTTTCTCAGAAAAGTATGTTCTGGATCTTTTCTCAGACACTGGGATGCTGGGGTGCAAACCAGCATCATCACCCATGATTCCAAACCTAAAACTTACTGCTGAAGGTGAGGAGTTGAGAGATCCGACTATCTATCAGAGGTTGGTAAGTAGATTTATCTACCTAGTCAACACTAGGTCAGATATTTCATTCGCTGTCAGCCGATTTAGTCAGTTCATGCACAGACCATGTCAACCTCATCTTGATGCAGTTTATCATATTCTTCGGTATCTCAAGTCTTGTCTTGGACTTGAGTTGTTCTATGCATCAGGATCTCAGAATGGTTCTCTAGCCTGTTATTCAGATTCAAATTATGGGGGTGCATGTTATGGTCGATCTACTACGAGCTTCTGTGTTTTTCAAGGGACTCATCTTATCTCTTGGAAGAGGAAGAAATAGTCAGTTGTCTCTCGCTCGTAAGCAGAGTCAGAGTATCGGGCATTGACACTTGGCACATGTGAGATTATCTGGCTACGATCAATTCTTGGCGAGTTGGGATTTCCAGTGACTTCTTCATCTATATTATATTGTGATAATCTATCTACTATTCAGCTCGTTTCTGACTCTGTATTACATGAGAGGACGAAGTATATAGAGATCGATGTTCACTTTCTTCGGGAGAAGGTTAGCAGTGGTATTGGCACTCCATCATTTGTGGGGACAAGTGATCAGGTTGCAGATGTTTTCACCAAACCTGTCACTCTATCCATTCTTCGGGACTCCGTTGTCAAGCTTAACTTAGTTTACATTTTTGCGCCTAGCTGGAGGGGGAGTGTTGAAAATATTACAGTTTAGTTTATTAGTGTTTATTATAGTTTTTCCTTTTTACCTTTTTACCCTTATTGTAATTTTCATTGACTATATATACGGGGGCTCTACACTTAGGTTGTATCCTTTTTGACCCACATATATTTCTCTAGTCTTTGTTCCCCAAAACACTGGACAATGGACACAATTGACTAACCCAATTTCTGTTAGACCTCCTACATACCATCTGTATGAACAACTAAGTGAATTATATATATTTGTGCTAGTCATGTAGGCATTATCACCATTCACCTGGAACTCGTTGCTATTCCCTGATTGAGATTACCATGGAAGTGTAGGCATTTTTTCAACGTTGGTGGCAAACACAAAATCTAGAGATACAAGAAGAAGTGAGAAAACTTGTAGATGGCGGTCAATTGGAATTCATGTATGGCGTTCACTTGTGACATATTAAAGTTTTGTTGTCTCTGAGTTTGGCATATGTTTATATTTGAATGATTCTCTTGCTTAGAAACGGTGGCTGGTGTATGCACGATGAAGCAACTTGTCATTACATAGATATGATTGACCAAACGACCCTGGGACATCGCTCAATAAAGAACCAGTTCAACAAAACTCCTCGTGCTGGATGGCAGATCGATCCATTTGGGCACTCTGCAGTGCAAGCTTATCTACTTGGGGCTGAGGTACATGTACTTACCAGTGTTAAGATTGACACCAATATCTGTAATATAATTGAAATATGTGATTTGTTGTCTAGAGTCAGGTCCAACAGTATTGGGATTGGTTGAAATATTTATCAAAAGACCTATTTGTATTTTGTATAAGCCATGGCTCCTGAATTCCTCTGATTTTGTTCTCTCTTTAGCTCGGCTTCGACTCTGTACATTTTGCACGCATTGATTATCAGGATAGGGCAAAGCGCAAGAAAGATAAATCTCTCGAAGTTGTCTGGCAGGGTTCCAAAACTTTTGGTTCGTCATCTCAGGTTCGGAACAACAACTGCAATTTTGTTTGAATATTGTTTTGTTTAAAATTGCTTGCTTTGTTCCCTCATCATTGACACATGCCTGGGTTCTGTGAAGATATTTGCGAACACATTTCCTGTCCATTATAGTCCGCCAAATGGTTTTCACTTTGAAGTGGATGATGACTTTGTTCCTGTCCAGGTTCTGTTCTTTTGCAAGAATGTGCTTCTCGGAACCTTTTCATGGTGTTCTTGTGCGTATATTTTCTCATTTTGTTCATGAATCCGCAGGATAATCCTCTTCTCTTTGACTATAATGTTGAGACACGAGTCAATGATTTTATTGATGCTGCATTAACTCAAGTAAACTCCAACTCGACTATTTATTTTACTAAAATATGGACTCAAGTATAATCATATGCACAGATTTGAGAATAGTAGGACGTTCCCAGTCCCTAGAAGGTGAAACAGAATGCATTTAATTGATGGTAGCTTGATCTTTGATATGCAGGCAAATGTGACGCTGACAAATCATATTATGTGGACAATGGGTGATGACTTCCAGTACCAATATGCTGAGTCTTGGTTTAAACAAATGGATAAATTAATTCATTATGTTAACAAGGCAAGTTCTGATTTGGGAAAGTTAATTTATTTGCAGATGTTTTAAACTTCCTACTTCTGAGCTCAGGTATCCCATTAATGTTGGAGTGGTTGCATTGAAAACATTCACACTAGTATTTTCTTTTAATAATGAAGGCTGCCAATAATCAAGAGACATAAGACATAAGAAGCCCACATGGCTGTAGTTGCATAGGCAACATTAGTGGTGTGACAAGGTACCAAGTGCATTTTCTATCCAATTATGCTCTCTTTGAATCAGGCAAATGTTATGCTGACTCATTATGGTTCTCAGATCATGGAGTAAGCTTTCCATGGAAAGCTACTTATCCTTTGGAGGATATAACTTCCCTAACTGCAGTAACTCGGTTTAATGAGTACCTTGAGCAGGTTAGATCAGTTCCAAGTTAAACGGTAGTACAATAATAGGTTTCAATCTCAGATTGCACAATGGGTCAATGTGCGTACTAAAGCAAAGGATTGAGGGGTCATAAATTGGTTTTCAACTTTGTCCTTCATGCGTGTGAGGGCAATGTGAAATGAAGGTTAAACCTTATAGAGGAGAGGGTCTGAATTCTGATGGTGGAAAGGTTATGGACATGACACATTTCAAGAAGGACTAAGTGGAGACGAAGGTAGGACTGTAATTCTTTAAATTATAATTCATATCCAACCAGGTTTTGAGAGTAGGAAGAAATTTGTGCATTTGATACATATCATTTACAATCTTCTTAGTTTTCTTAATTCAGAACTTGTGTAGCATTTGAAGCTAGTTATACTACATTATAACTTTTAGTGAACAAATAAAATCTACTTTTTCACATGAAGAACCAAAAGTAAGACATGTACCACATAGGCAGGTACTGATTGTTGTAGCGTGATTGTGCACTGATGGGGAATATTCAAATGGAAAAGTACTACTACAAATTTAAAGAACTTATCATATAGATTTCTTATTCTACTTGCTTCATGTAGTTTTGAACTCCAACATGTTTAATTTTGGTCATTTCTCTGCCTCTCCTCTGTCAACCAAAGTTTTTTACTTTCATGTTCTATTTAATATCCTGTGGTACATGAATTTGTAATGATATGTATGGGTGTTGTATATGTGTAGTTGTATCATAATTGAAGATTCTCCACAGTTTGCACATGAATTTCACATGCTTTATTTGAATAATTTTGGGGCTGTTAGGTCACTGATATCCACGTCATCACTCCTTGAGTTTTGGAACTTTCCATTATCCCAATCATTTATCAAAATTTTATGCAATCCTCAGTGAGGCTGAAATTCAAGGAGAGACAGAGACGTGAACCTTACTTCCTTTTACGTGTAGAACTGTAAATATGACTAAGTAGGACATACAAAATTCCTGCCAATAGTAGGACATGTATCTTCCCTTATCTCATGTGGAATTAAATCGCAGGGGTGTAATCAGTTTGAAATAACTATTGTCTCTAAATTGAAGGAATAGTATTTTTTCCTGGTTGTGTTTACACAACTCAGTCAGGATCCATTTTGATTGAGTTAATGACACAGGATGGACGAGTGAATGCATTGTATTCTACACCATCTATCTACACAGATGCAAAACATGCCGAAAATGAATCCTGGCTGCTGAAAATTGATGACTATTTCCCGTGAGCATTATTGCTTTTTTCCTTTTTTAAGGTAACAGTATAGGCTAAATAATCTTATTGACTTCATCCATGATATGGATTCTGTGTGTTGATTGTTTACAGATATGCAGACAGTGCAAATGCATATTGGACCGGTTTCTTTACTAGTCGCCCAGCCTTGAAGCGATATGTGCGTATGCTCAGTGGATATTATTTGGTAAGGTCATAAAAAATCCTGCCTTGGGTTTCATATTGTACCAGGACTCCTGGTATGTTTTCTTTGGAATAAAGGACATCCGGGTACCTATAAGAGATAAACAAGACATATGGAATAGTTCATAGGAAAGTTTATAAATGATCTATATAAATTTCATATTTCATTTTGGTTTTGCCAAGGTTGATTTACCGAACAGAAGGCTAGACATGAATTTCTTGACTGTGATCAAGTATTGGACATCCGGGTACCTATAAGAGATAAAAAAAGACATATGAAATGGTTCATAGGAAAGTTTATAAATGATCTCTATGAATTGGATATTTCATTTAGGTAATGCCAAGGTTGATTCACTGAACAGGAGGATAGACATGAATTTCTTGACTGTGATCAAGTATTGGACATCTAAGTGTGGATACTGGTTCTGTGCCAGACATAAATGATTACTGTGCTATCATCATGTCCTGGATGCATTCTCATCTTTCTCTAGGATATTTGCTATTTTGCCGATTAAATATAGTTTTTGAGATGGATATTTCATTTAGGTAATGCCAAGGTTGATTCACCGAACAGAAGGATAGACATGAATTTCTTGACTGTGATCAAGTATTGGACATGCTAAGTGTGGATGCTGGTTCTGTGCCAGAGATAAATGATTACTGTGTTATCATCATGTCCTGGATGCGTTCTCATCTTTCTCTAGGATATTTGCTATTTTGCCAATTAAATAGTCATTGAGATTTTTTCTGTGTTCAAAATAGGCAACACGCCAACTTGAATTCCTTGTTGGAAGAAGATCTACTGGTCCCAACACTTTTAGTTTAGCAGACGCCTTAGGAATTGCACAGCACCATGATGCTGTCACTGGTACAGCTAAACAGCATACAACAAATGACTACGCAAAACGCTTGGCGATTGGAGCGTCCGAGGTGTGCTGTTAATTCTTTGTACTTGACCTTTTAGATATATTCAATCCCACGTCTTGCACTCTTATTTTTTGTGTATACATTTTAATTTTATCTGTACTTTCCAAATGCAATACCTGCCCTAGGCAGAAGGTATTGCAAGTTCAGCTTTGTCATGCCTGGTTAACTCAACAAAAAGTGACCAATGTCCGACATCCACATCGACATTTAGCCAGGTGAAGTTTCACTGCTGAGTTTTTTTTTTTTGAATTGTTAGTGTTTTACATCCAAATGATCTTTAAGTGCTGATGTTGTTGCATTTTCATGCTTGAGTTGTGAAGGATAGAGATGCAACTCGAACAGTGTAATTTTTAATCGTTAATGATTCTTGTTTTTTCTACTAGTCATGATGTGGTTGTCTATTGTAGCTACACGAGTAAATTATGCCATCCATCTTCAATGTTGAAATTTTTTATGGTGTCACAATTATGCAATTACAAGATGAGAATTAAAATGTGTCTCATGTGTAGACTGCTGCAGATATTGTGTTGTTTCTCTAATCGCACAAAAGGACTTAAATGGGTGCGGATGCTATATGTATGTTATAGGAATCGTGGACTAATGTGCTTTTCATTTCAAAACTTTTATATAGTTGTTGCATACCTTACATCCATTTGATACTACCCTATTAAATGTGCCTTTCTTTGCCACATGGTCATGCATTTATTGTTGCAAATCCCATTTGTAGAATTTGCAATACTGTTGATGGGTAGACTTTTTAGCCTTGCCAGCCATGTTAAATTGTTATAGTGCCTTTTCTCTTTGTCTTGCTTGAAGGTGATACTACAAATTTTGGTGGTAAATGGATAACCTAAATTTTACTTTTTGAAAAACAAGGAAAATCTCTAGTTTACTTGCCGAAAATAAAAGCAAAACCTAAACTTTAAAATCGCTTTCAAGTTAAATTGCATTTTCACGACTTTGAATGTGAGCTAGCAGACATATTTTTCCCTATTGCTCAGGGCTAAAAGCTCAAAAGCCATTAACATGGTATACAACTTGTAAAAGTATGCTTAAACAGATTCCTTGAGTGATTGATGTATAAGTTTTCACTGTAATTTGGTGAGAACTTTCTTTGAGTAGATGTCATGGGACTACAAGCACCATTCATCTATAGGATCTTACTTTGCTGTTTTCTGCTTCCCCCTTCCATTCTTGGCCACACATGCAGGATTTGGGGGTGTGCGTGTGTGTGTGTGTTTTTTTTTTTTGGGGGGGGGGGCGAGGGTTTTGCAAGGTATTGACCTCCCGGTCTAATGCTAACTTTCCACTATTTTGTTTTCCTTCATCTTTCTCTACAGTGTCAATTATTGAATATAAGTTTCTGCCCACCAACTGAGGAAGACATTCCTGAAGGAAAGAGTTTGGTACTCTTGCTTTTTTCCTATAATCCTTTTCCATAATTCAAGATATTTCATAAAACGGTTCATTGTATTTGACTGCTACTTTCAGGTGGTTGTGGCTTACAATCCTCTTGGATGGAACCGTACTGATATCATTAAGATTCCTGTGAGTACATGATTTTCATTTTGTTTTCTATTTTGTTTCTTTTTGACATTTGTGAATTAATGCAAAGAGGCCACAGTTGTTTTTTTTGAGGTTTCAAGAGGCCACAGTTGTTCACCACATTGTTCAGAACCCGAAACATCACATGCATTTTCTGATTTCCCTACCTGTACCTTATTCAATAGCTATAAGGCTAACCACTCTTTGTACTAGAAACTTAGCAGTGTGGTGGATGGAAATATGAATGCAGCTGAAGCTAGGATGTTGAGTTAACTTCGTGGTAAGATCACAGAAAAATTACATTGGGTGCAGACGTGCAGTGATGAGAAATTGGAGAATTAGAGGCAACATCTAAGGAGAGACATAAAGTATCTTTCATCATGGAAGGAAGAAAAAATCGAGTGAGTCGGTTTTCAGTGTCAATCAATGTCCATTGATTGAACCAGTCCTTAGTAATGTAGATTGGACATTGGTTGGGGAGTAAGGATTAGAAGAAAAGTAATGCTGGCAGGAAAATGTAGCTTCTCTCTTTTGAGGTGTTTTTTTTTTTGGAAATAACGGAACAAACAATTTCTTAGTTGGGGAGGATCTCTTGTTAATCCCTTAGTTGCCTATATTAATGTCTTTTCCTTAAGGGTATGCATTTGGAACCTACTGTTTCTTTCATTTACATTTGATGCGACCCTTGGCAAGATTTAGAGTTTTTGTGCACGTGGTGGGCTTAAAGGAGGAAATCATTTCTTGATATTTCGTGTCCAGATGTACTCTGCCTCCTCCTTACTCTTTAGTATTTCAGTTATTTCTCAACAGATGGAGAGGGAGAGCGATAGAGTATATGGGTTGTAACTGTTGGCACTTGGCAGTAATATGACAATGGAAATTCTACGAAGGGATTGTTTGAGCTGTGAGAAAACACCTGGTGATCTATGATCTAATAGAGGTTTTGCACTAGATGGAGTAAAATGCAAAAATATCTGTCTTGCCAATCCCAAACAGTTGAATAATGTTTTCTTGAGTGAGGTTTTATCAGAATCAAAACAATGCTTCAATTGGGCATGCTGTGAATAATCGTGCTATCATTGAACTGTTGGGCCTTTGTGGAGTTTAGTTTGTGTGTTGATTCGGATGATGACCAGACATGAAATAATGTTGCGTGATTTTTAATGGAAAATTTTCTGAGACTTGTTTCATGGAGCAAAGGCTTGAGTTGAATGCCCTGAGGAAAATTTTTTGGGCCTATTTTGTAGCTCGATAGGTAAGACATATAAAAATCTGTTACTTTGATGATTAGGGTTTGAGTGTAATTGTATGGCCGCCCTCGGTATTGCGCTTTCTCAATAGTGAAGTCCTTGCAGCTTCGTGCATATAGACAAATTGTCGAACCACGTAAAATCTGTGTGTCTTGTTATTTCTTGCTTCTCATTATTTTATGTTTTTGGTTTATTCTTTGATTGTGTGTGTTTGTTTGTGGGTTTAAAGCGCATTGGATCCCAACAACTAGTATCAGAGCTTTGAGAGTTAGGAGGTCAAGGGTTTACACAATGGTTGAAGACAAGTCAAGATCGAGAAATTCAATGGTATGAATTACGCGTTCTGGAAGATGCAGATAGAAGATATTTTATATCAGAAGGATCTGTATCAATCTATCGATGGCACGAAACCAGCGGATATGAAGCAAGCAAAGTAGGATGTTCTGGATTGCAAAGCCCTAGGGACTGTGCGACTGTGCCTCGTGCCGTTTGTTGTGTCGAACATTGCCAAAGAAAAGACTACATCAGATTTGTTCAAAGTCCTAGAAAAGATATACGAAAACCTTCAGTGGTGAATAAGGTATGTCTTATAAAAAAGTTGTTTAACCTAAAGATGTCTGAAAACACCTGTTGTTGCTGAATATATCAATGAATTTAATACGGTCACGAATCAGCTTAGAATCCGTTAGTATTGTTTTTTGATGATGAAATTAAAGTTTTTGTCTTTTTATCAAGTCTGCTAGAAAGTTGGAATGGA